TAAAAAAGTTCATATGTAACTAGTTGTCGACATAGTATAATCTTCAATTGTTTCAACTATCTATTTGCATTCAACTAATGCATTAAAAAATACTCTTGAACCTAAGCTAACCTTCAAAATTTATTGAAAAGTTATTTAAAAAAAGAAAATTTCCCTAGTAGCTCTCTGGACGTCCTTTATGGATGGCCCATAAAACATCTATCTGAAAGTTTTCAAAAACCAATGGTACCAATCGATTCCTCAACCCCATAAAACTTTTTGTCAAGCTCTACCGGAGTAGATGTAGAACAGAACTGAGCATTAATCTTTCAGATAAGGTGTTTTTGACTTTGACACATGCACACATACTGGCAGATTTTATTTGAGATGACTCTCCATTCAGTCTAGAGAATAAGTCAAAAGGAAACTATACCGTTGGCTAGAGTAATCAATGCCCTTGGAAAACATATAGAAAGGAAAAAATTGCTGAAACTTTGAAGAAACATAGAAAATTGATGAGCATTAGAAGAGAAAGAGAGAAACAAGAAAGACTTCAAACTACAAAAAGAACTACTCATTATCTTTTTTCTCTTTCTTTTCATGTTAGCAAAATTTTGTTTTCTTTACACTTATGAACTCGTACATGGAAATGTCCTTAGAATTTTGAGAGCTTAACATTTCAGATATTAGAAATAGTTGTCGACACAAAAGAATTCTTACAAAGTCTTTTTCTTATAGACTAAGTTACGGAAAGTACTTTCTCGTGCATGAGAGACAAAAATCTCGTCGACAATGACGATTCATTTTCTTTGTTCATTGTAGTTATTCCCAATATTTCCATCGATGCTCAATGGTCCCAAAACGGAAAGGCCGTTGCTGGAGAGAATGAAGAAGGCGATGCCACAAATCAACTCGCGAACCCTTACGGTCTCTTCGTTGATGATGATCAAACGATGATCATTGCTGACGGCTACAATGATCGTATCGTCCAATGGAAGATGGGTGATACGACTGGACATGTTGTAGCTGGTGGCAAGGGCGAAGGAAATCGATTGGATCAATGGAATGGGCCAATAGATGTGCTAATCGGCAAAGAGACTGATAGTCTCATTATCTGCGATTGTCTGAATAGACGAGTCGTACGATGGTCTCGTCGTAGTGGCACAACTCAAGGTGAAATCCTCATTGACAACATCGCTTGTTGGGGATTGTTCATGGATGATCAGAGATATCTCTACGTCTCTGACACGGAAAAACATGAAGTCAGACGATATCAAATAGGAGACAAGAATGGAATTATTGTGGCTGGTGGAAATGACAAAGGTGCTGATCTCAATCAACTCAACTTTCCGACCTACATCTTTGTCGATCAACAACAGACTGCTACGTGTCAGACAACCACAATCATCGTGTGATGAAATGGAATAAAGATGCAAAAGAAGGTGTTGCCGTCGCCGGAGGTCAAGGTCAAGGGGAAGCTCTGACACAACTGTCTCATCCTAACGGACTTTTCGTCAATACGTTGGGTACCATCTATGTGGCAGATATGCAGAATCATCGAGTCATGCGTTGGCCTAAAGGAGCAAAACAGGGTACAGTCATTGTGGGTGGAAATGGTAAAGGAGCAGGAGCAAATCAGTTCAATCATCCCGTTGGTTTATCCTTCGATCGACAAGGCAATCTCTATGTCGTCGATTATTGGAATCATTGTGTTCAATTTTTTTCAATTCAATAAATTGCATTTGAATCGAAAAAATTTTCTTTTAATTTCTATTCACGCGCGCGTGCGACCAGGAACCCTCCTGGCGGAGCTGTGACGAGCGTAACGCTCGTACACGCGCGGGAAGACCCACATCATTCACATGCACCCATCCGGTGACATGCGTCAGTGAGCCTGGGGCCCGATCGTATTGCCACAGACACCAAGACAGTTCCTGGCAGGTGTTTAGGATCTATCCGGAAGACCTGATATAGTACGAGACCTCAACTCAAACTCAATAAGAAGAGAAAATATAATAAATAATTACTCACCTTTCCTTGACCATGTTAATGGCCGAAACGGGAAAAAAAAGAAATTTAATCCATGTAGAAAGAGAATTAGTGAAAAAAGGATACATACATTTTATTTTATTGTTTTCATATTGACTTGATTTAATTTTGAGTTGTTGAAACCAATACCTAAAATATAAAAAGATCAATCGAAGTCTTACTACCTTCGAAATGATCTTTAAGAAAAAAAAACAAAGAAAAAAAAAACAAAGAAAAATTGAAAACTAATACCTACATTTTTAGTTTTGATTGTATTGTATTGATATGGAATTGATTAATTTTGAGTCTTTGAGAAGTAACTTAAAATATAAAAGAGAAAATATTAGAATATGATTCAAATAATTGAATGATTTTTTAGTTGAAAATCATTCATTTTTATACACATCTGCATACATTTTTTCTCTCGTTCAATAATAATTACATCATAATAATTACGGACGAGAAAAAATAAATCGTCCGGTCGTCGTCGTTGTTTTATTTCTTTTTACGCTCACATTTTATTTTTCGTAAGAGAGAATGAGAGATTAGAATTGTCAAGATGGTAATTATATCATTGGTCGACAAACTTTTGTCGACAGTCATTTTTGTCGACAAATTTTTGTCGACAGTAGTTTTTCGACAAAATTTAGTCGACAACTTTTCGTCGAAAGGAAACTTTGTCGACATGATAATTTGTCGACAAAATTTTGTCGAAATTATTTCGTCGACAGATATTTCGTCGAAAAATATTTCTCAACAAACAACGGTGTACAAAATTTTACAACTAGTCTTTTATTTGATAAAGCACATACAGGAGTAAAACAAAATACTATATATAGTTATGTAGAACATAATTAATAAAT